CCGCCTCCTCCCGTGGCTCCACGTCTGCTCCCGTGGCTCCACGTCTGCTCCCGTCTGCTCCCGTGGCTCCACGTCTGCTCCCGCCTCCTCCTGTGGGCTCAGCGTCTGCTCCTGTCTCCTCCCGTGGCTCCACGTCTGCTCCCGCCTCCTCCCGTGGCTCAGCGTCTGCTACCGCCTTCTCCCGTGGCTCCACGTCTGCTCCCGTCTCCTCCCGTGGCTCCACGTCTGCTCCCGCCTCCTCCTGTGGGCTCAGCGTCTGCTCCTGTCTCCTCCCGTGGCTCCACGTCTGCTCCCGCCTCCTCCTGTGGGCTCAGCGTCTGCTCCTGTCTCCTCCCGTGGCTCCACGTCTGCTCCCGCCTCCTCCCGTGGCTCAGCGTCTGCTACCGCCTTCTCCCGTGGCTCAATGTCTGCTCCCGCCTTCTCCCGTGGCTCAATGTCCGCTGCTGTCCCTGCCAGGCCTCATATTGTTGCGGAGTCGCACATTGGATGGTTTCCTGGCTGTCCCCCTGGACTTGTGTGTTTGTTTTTGTCCTGAGTTCCCCTGTCTTATGTTCATGTTCCCTGAGTCCTGTACCTCTTCCTTTTTCGACGTCGGGAGCTGTCGTTTTGGGGGAGCGGTGGAGTTACTGTCATGATCTGTGTTTTTGTCGTCATTTTCTRAGTGTTTTTCTGTTCCCGTGTTTTCCTTTCCCTGCTGTTTTGCCTCCAGCCCTGCCCATGCTCACCTCATTACTCGTGCGTTTCCCATTAACTCTTAATTTGTTTGCTTTACATTTTGAGTCTTGTCATCAGTGTATGTTGGATCATTGTGTTTCCAGCCCGTGAGTTTTTGCCTCTGCCTTGAGAGTTGTTCTTTTGTTTATTATTAAAGTTTTTGTTACCTTTTTGAGCCTGCCTGCGCCCTGGGCCATTTGCCTGCAAAGTCTGTCACAAAAGCTTTTCTAGTTTCTGAAACAGCAACCAGATGACAAAGAAAATGTTATAYTCATAAAACCTTAGTGTTTATTACCAAAACATGTGCTAACATTTACAACATATAAAGTAAAAACAACTTTTTGTCATGAAGAAATTTTTTTTTCCCACTCACGCTACAAAATTCTGTTCCTAGAAACACACAGCAGGACTATGATTCCCTTACGGTTAAAAAGCTAACATGACCTAAAATCCTTCAGACTCGCTGTACGCACTGTGGCTACAAGTCTGTCTGACATGCAGAAACTGGCTTGATATTCCTTTTTATAATGTATCAAACCAAGGAGACTTAAAAGGCGAGATCTGCAGGGACCAGATCTGGAGCACAAGCTATAAATATTAATAAGGTGCAGCAATCTTTCACACCTTATTAACGACTTTAATGATAACCATGTGCTCCAGATCTCATCTGGCTTGCCTGTCATGGTAAACACCCCGGAAAACAAACCTTCATTTACATCATTATTTGTGGATTTACAAGTGTTCTTAATAGGAAACACAAGATTTCCAAACAAGCAGCCAATTTGTGAGTCTTCGTCTGAGTCCGTCTCACATCACCGCTCGTYACAGCTGCGAAGGGAGCGCCAATCAAACTAAATCAGAGGAGTCTCTGCTCCAGGCGRCACGAGAACCACCTCTGTCCTCGATCATCAAACTCATCACCTTCAGGTGTGCGCTTTCTTTCTGGACGGGTTGATGTTGTTAACTTGGCATGAGAACAAAGTACCTGAGGTTATTTATCTGCACTCGTCTCCTGTGACGAGTCAGCTCKCTCCCTCTTTATAGAAACCGTCTCCTCCTTGATGGTCTCAGCCTCTGTTGCTTCTCGTTTCCTCTCCTCCTTAATGTCTTCCCTTTTCACCTTTTGCTTTGCAGGAATGTTGCTGCGGGGCGGTTTGATGTCCGTGGTAGACTCGGACAGGTCTGTGGAGCTCTCACAGACYGTTGGCCCCTCCCATTTTGGGATTTCTACACCCAGGAGCTCCATCAACGGTTTCATGACCTCGTCCACGTAGCCATTGATGCGCAGGTGGGCATGTTTGTCCTGTAACGGCAGAAAATAAAATAAAGTTTGACTATTAGATAGAAGCTTTCTGTTTTCTTTAATAAGTCAATCAATTGGATATMTTTTACAACTAATTTCTTTAATTTTTTCTTTAAAAAACTCGCATCTACGCATCTCATCCTTTCTCTAATTTTTTATTCATGTCAGAGTTCCTCGTTTGAGTCTGATTGCGATGAACAGACCTGAAAATTATAATTACTCCTCAAATAATGGCYTCCACTGCAATCACTCACCTAATGAAATGTCTTCTACGAGTAATTACAAAGTCTGCAAAGTGTTAAAAGACTCGGAGTAAACTGGAATTCAAATGGCAGCATTAATGAGAGATTCAAGGTTYGGTTCCTCTTGTGAAACAAAAAGTTAATTGTTTTTCTTTCTGTCAAGCAGAAAACAAAGTGTTGGCTGCAGACAAGGCTTCARCTAGCAAATAAATAAAAACATCTTGAAAAACTTGACATTTTAGAAGACTGTTGATAGAATGTTGTTTAGAGACGTGGGTCCCAAATTTTTTCATTCATGGCCTCCGAAAACCAGCRTTAGCTTCTGTCCGGGGACTCCATCCCAAACCCACAAACAATCCTACAAAATACAGAAGCAACTTTTAGATTGTGTTTTATTTTTGTGTTGGTCATTTTTCAGAAACTGCATTAGACATGGACCAGGTTGTGCAATAATTTTGAACTTCATTCTATGCAAACTATAAGAAACATTGTTAATACGGTCTAATGGCTTTGATACATAAAAATCCAAATAAGTAGTGTTTATGGTTAAAAAAATGGAAACTCAATGATAATTTATGGGGAAAAAAATGGTATTTAAAGTATTAAAAGTGTGCCTGTTAAAAAGTCTTTATTTGGAGGGGGTGGTACTTGAAGGCAGGTGGATCCAGTTTTGGTCCTTGAAGGCCACAATCCTACAGGGGTGTCAAACTYGGTTACACAAGGGCCATTTTCTGTCACTGTTTAATGAAGAAATGTTATGTAAGAAATAATTCTTATAGAAATACATGTGACTTTTTCCAAATTATGCTTTATGTAGCATTTAAAACATTTAACATATATCTATATAAATAGTTACATAACATAACATAACAAGGGGCGATATGTGCATTCCAAGCCTATATTTCAATTTTATACTAAAATAAAGTAACTATGTCCCATTTTCAGCTTATGAAAGAGCTATATATTTGTAAAAATCCCCAAAACAATTTACTTCTCATCTTGACAGTTTCTAAATGCCTTGAAATAGGTCTCTGTCTCTTTAAGAAAATCCAACTACTTCTGTCACGCCCATTTCAGCACGTAGCCTGCCGGAGCCACGGAGCGGGGGGGAGGAGGCGGGGGGGCTCAACCACGAGGAAGCTTGGCTTAAAGACACATCCCAGAGGAGGAGCTTGTCCCAAAAGGACACAACCCAGAAGCGTTTCTGGTCCCCACCTGTCGTTTTGCTCCTCAGCATGGCTTCCTAAAAAC